AGCTTAAGAGAACAAATAAGTGGTGTTATTTATTCATTTATTTATTTATTCCTCACCAAATTTTTATTAACCACCTTCTCTGACCAGGCATTGTTCTAAGCACTGAGGATAAAACAGTGAATAAAACAATTCTTAAATTCTTGAGGAAGAAAACAGACAGTGAAAAAAAAACAAGGAATGCATTAGTACCATTAAAATAGATTTTGATAATGTATGAATTTGGTAATTAATTGCTAAATAAGTGAGAGGAGACTTTTATCACAGTGATAAAGAGCTCATACTCTGAAGTGAGATGACCTAGGTTTGAATCTTCCACTTCAGGTTATGTTTTTGGCAAATTAACTCAAATTGCAATTTCACAAATCAGGAATAACAGAACCCATCTTGCAAGGCTGATGTAAAGATTAAAAGATAAAATATTCATGAAAACACTTAGCACATTGGAGTGTATATAGAAACTACCAATTAATTAAATTATTATTATTAGGATATGTAAGACCATCTAATTCTCCCATTTTCCATTGCACGGAGACCTGGTTAAATACATATGAAAGCCTTGGGCTCTACCTCGTATCTAAAGGTAGTTTCTTTTCTTTCTCTCTTTTTTTTGGAAGATAACATGAGTCACTCGTTAATTCATTCATTCAACAAATAGTCATTGAGCACCTAATGCATGCCAAGTATTTTACTAGGTGCTAGGGGAATACATCAGACAAGACAGTCACAGTCCCCGCTGTCTTGGAATTTAAGTTGCCATATTATCATAAGTATGGGTTATTATGAAAGCAAACTCTAGAGGTGCCTAACTTTTCAACAATAAACATTGACTTTAAAGAACCAATATTTACCCAGTGCTATATAAGCCCCTCTAGTGGTGCTCTGCCTTCAGAGAATGCTCAGTGAATAAAATCCACTAGCAATGGCAAGGTTTGGAAAGCCTGGAGGCAAAGCAGAAGCAATCTCAGGAGCCTGTTTGATGTCTTTTCATCCTTCTACTTCCGGACCTCCTAAATTAAGACAGCCTCCTTACACAATCGCGATCCATTATACTGTTTTTATTTTCTACTTAACCCCTATCACCGTCTGATATTATCTTTATTTCGTTAACTGTGATTTACATCCTGCCAAGTTTACACCTAGAATCTATAAGCCCTGTAACAGCTCTGTTCCCTTAGTTTCTTCGAGTCAAAAAATTATTGTTGAATTACTAAACGAATGAACACTCCTGCCCTTTTTCTTGTTTTCTTTAATTGGCGGAAATACCAAGGTACCCACACAAAGGACAGATCCCGGAAGAGGGCCCCGCCCCACGCTTCCGCTAATCTGATCCCTCCTCGCTTTACCCCAGGGGCGTGCCTCGCCAGCCCCGCCTCCGCCCGCAGCTCACCTACTTCCGGCCGCCTGCCACTAGGGGGCACTCTTCGCAGGCCGCGACCTTCTCCGCTTCCCTTCCCGCCCGCCTGACCCGCCACTCACCTGCTCCTCTCTCGGCTTCCACCAGGGGGCGAGTCTCGGAGGGCCGGGCCTCCGCCTCTGCCGCCGACCTCTTCAGAGTCGCCAGAACAGTCTCCGGCGGCAAGTCGACCAGCTCCTTCCACACGGACTCCGTGTAGAAGTCCACCGTATGTGCCCTGGAAATGGGCAGGGCGTCCCTCAGGAACTGCAGCAGTCCCTGCAACTTGGCACGTAGCGTGGGGAGGTCCTGGGTCACTGGGAGAGGGCAAGAAGCCGCCATGACGCTCACCCTCCCAGGCTGTAGGTGGCGCAAACATGGCAGTGCGGCGACGGCTCGATCAAAAGAGTAGCACAGGCTGGGTAAGTAGAACTCCGAGCCGGACTCTAGCTGGCGATTGATTGCTTCGGCTTGATGACGTATTTTGAGGGCGTCCTCTGTAGTTTTCTGGCGACGCGCTAGGTTAGCTATGGCGCCAGTGAGTCCGGCAGCGAGGAGGCGGACGGGGGTTTTGGGGACGCGTGGCCAAGGAGTGTCTTCGGTTGGATTCGGGAACAAGAATGTGAGACAGAGGACATGGCGGCCTGACCGTCTGCAAGCCTTCGTAGGGAGCGTTCGCGAGGGTATGTAAGACGGCAACCGTTTACAATTCCTCAGGTCTGCGAAGTCCTGTGATATGCCACACTCAGAATGTCGGAAAGATGTAGGAACCAGACCTGGTCCCACTTGGGGCAGAACAATCCCGTTCTAAGCCCGTTGAAGCCCTGAGCTTCACAGACCTCTGGGTGGGAAGACGGGGCAGCGTTGCGAACTTTAAGTTTTTAATCCTTGCCCCTGTCTTAACCCCATTCTTCATCAGAACTCTTTTCCTCTGCA